GTAATCTTGAAGACAAGTCAACCGCTGTTTTTACAGTCACCCCTACGTGGTCAGTTGGTTTGCTTTCTATTAGTTTTTTTTTTAAGGAAAAGAGTTGGAGTTTTTGAGCAGTTCATCGTGTGACATCAGATAGACCACTTTGCTCCTTCATTGCGAATTCCTTTATTTGGCCTCCAGACCGAAAATTGTCCTACCGCCAAGGCAAGAAATAGAAAATACATGATGCCATAAATATCTCAGTAAAACAAATCTGAGATGTATTTTGTGCTTGGTACAATCAAATACGAAACAGATAACAAAACGAAAAGCAAAGAAACTAGAAAGTATCTTTAATTGCTTTACGCAAATAGCCTGGAGTTAACATTAAGACGCTAAATATTTAAATACCGAAAGAAAAAACAGATAAAAAGTGTCATTGACGCCTTTTGAATGTTCACTGAGCTGTATTTCAGAATTCAATAGGGCACACCAATTCTGTCTTGTAGCTGGAAAAAACCTCATTCAATATTTCCTGAAAGTTCAAGATCTAATTTGTGATTGGTCATAACGCAATGAATAATCCATGCGTGAGTTCACGGTTGATAATTCGGTTACGTGTAAAACTTTAATTCGCTGACGAACAACTCTTTTATGTAGGATATATAATTTCTTAGCTTATCTTTCTAAGCAGGGAGGTAGGAGAAGAACTTTCCTTCAGTTCAAGGTAAGTTTGATCTCTGTGCATTGCTAAACAAAAGCTATAGAAAAAACGCTAAATATCATTAATTGATACAACTTTTAACAAAATTAACTTGTTAACCAAAAAATTGACATTAGTCTTTTAGCTAGTTAACATAATTCCATTTCAAACTGACACAAATATACATTTTTAACTGATGATCATCCGTCCTACCTAGTGTAAACATGCACATGGCGTACTTGATCAAAAGACAGGATCTTAGTTTACGAATCCTCCAGAATGAAGTTACCGGCCTAACTGCACAAACCCGTCAAAAAGTATTAAGTTTCAATATCAGATGGTAACATTTCGAAGACATCCAACCGGCCGCCTCATGATCTGTAATGATGAGCACAGTCGGTTAGTGCACGGCGTTCTTTAGGTGGGGTTTCGAATTAGATTCCTTTAAACATAACCTCAAATCCTTCCTTCTACTTCTTACCTTTCTGAATGGCTTTAAATACCCGTAAAAGAGAGGAAGGGTGTAAAATGAGGGCGGCCTAGGGCCCAGGTTTGTTAGTTTAATGTAGACCAGTCACCCACGTCGTATAAAGGACCTTTACCTTTCGCCTTTCACTTTTAACATATAAACCTTTTGTATCCCACAGAGTTGTGGTATCAGTTTTTTTGCAAATCACAACCTTCATATCTGCCCTGGCGTGACGGCAACAACCCTCGAAAAAGTTCAGACACCTGTTTAAACGTGGGTTATTTAGACATATATCTAACTGGCGCTGAAAATCATGAATTATAGCGGTAAAGGCAACTCAGTCGACAAGGAAATAGGATCAATCCTCTATGAAGCATTTAGTCCAACCAGGTTTCAAACCAAATGACCTCTAAAAGGCGAAAACGAGTTGATTTGAGGTTTGATGTTTATTTAAACTGATTTACGGTTGTCATATACTTGTTGACCGTTAAATGGAGGTAAAAAACAATAGAATTATCCGAGGTAACGGCTTAATGGAGGTCAAATTCACGGTGTGAATGAGGAAAAAATGAAATCAATAATTTTATAGGTGGAAAAATTAATAGAGGGGGCCGCTTACCATTGGTTTCACTACTGGAATTGTCTTCATAATTTGACTAAAATTATATCCTTCGAAAGACCGTAGAAGGGCCCCTAAAAAACTCTATAAGCGGCCATTTTAGAGTTTAGCGCGCCAAGCGACACCAGTAGACAAATTGTTTTCAGACCACTTCTCTCTTCCAGACCATTCCATCAAAGACAAAGAACTCATTCCGTTAGAACTAATTAATTCAGACAGGGATAGTATCCGTAAGGCCCGTGAAGTATTTTTAATTTCTAAATTTGGCAAAAAAAAACACTTAAACCCTATGGGATGAACGGACGACATGAAATTTAATCTAACGACTTAGTACATTTTTTTAATATAACTTCTTTATACAAGTTTTCGTCTGTTGTAAATTCTCCACCGATCACATATTATTTTTATATTCCTATTATCTGATTTTAAATACCGTAACCGCAGTTATTCTATTCTCACTTAGCTTTTCTAGCCCCTGGTGAAGTCTAGCTTTGTCTAGTCGAAATATTAGGCAAATAAATTTGTAACCCTTAGCTGTCCGATCAGCCTTTTAAGTATTCTGTTAATCGACAATTTATATAAACATGTGCAAAAGGTGATGATGGAAATACGTTCGTAGCGATTAATAATGATAATAATAATAATAATAATAATAATAATAATAATAATTGACAGTATAATTTACCGGCTTCGCCGCTCAGTTATCAAACAAACCCGACATGAGTAAAGCTTTCAGCCCATCACACACTGATATTTCTTTAGTTATTTAATGTTTCTAAAAATGAACAATTCTAAGCTGTACTTTTGGGAGAAATTTTGTTATCAGTATGACCATAAATAAAAGTGAATAATGTTCCTTATTTGTTCACGACCAAGAGTGCCATGTACATTACAGCACCTGCAAAGGTTGTGGAGTCAATAAGAACTTTATGTTCCGTGTAACTTTATATTTCGATAATGGCTGGCCGAGTGTTTCTATATTAAAAAGAAAGAAGATCACAACACAGCGTCGATCCCGGACCTTTCGTATCCCAAACTCTCTCCCTTAAATATACCACTGAACGACCTTACCGTCCCGCCTAAATTCTAAACCCTAACCCTAACCCTAACCATAAACTTTTAACTTAAATTCAACCTGTGTTTCAACGTCTTTCTTCCTTCTTTCTAAGACTATTCAAAAGTGTATTATTTCCCTTATCGCAAATTAATCCAGCAAATATATGACGTTTATTACGACTAAAGGCTTCTTGGCTATAAATGGTGGCAAAGAAAGCTTACGAGTCGAAAGGGAAATAGGCGCCCGGTTAAGTCTTGCTTTGGGTGAGGGCATGTGATGGTTTTTTGTTGATATAATAGCAATTGTTTCTCAATATAACAGGAAATTAATAAATCACCCCAGCCAGTTAATAATAAAAAAGAGTGAACGGAGAATGAGAAAAGAACTTAACACAACAAGCACATTCTTTGTGACATCCAATGTAGCTGCAATACGCTGACGGTATCTAATTGATGAATTACTTGTTGCCGTTTTCAGTTTGTCTTATTGTACCAGTTTAAATTATTGTAAAACAGCAATTTATTGCAAGAAAAATCGTGGTAAGTTTGAAATAATGGCTGTCAGTAAAACAATTTTCCGTTTTTATCAATTTCAACGCTTCCTTTTAAAAGCCCATTTATTTGAATAAAGTATACTTCAACAAAAATCTTGGGAAAAAGCCTTTTAATATTCAACATTTGTACTAGCTGTTAAATATTGATTAGTTAAATTTTTCACCTGATATTATATTGTACCCGTCGCCGTAATTTTTATGCCATCTTCGAAGTAATTGAGGAATAATGGCCCGGAGAAAAACCCTCTATAATTATAGTCCATATGGGGATGTTCCGCGCGAAAGGGATACCTTTTTCACACCTTCGGTATATGAAAGGGTAGGGATTTCCCTAGTTGAGGTATATTAAAGGGTAGGAGAGTTTGTCATTTCGGTCTGTAAAATGAACCGGGGCTACAAAAGGATTTTATGGCGTGGAAAGTCGAAAACATTTAATTCTTAGTTTTGGTGATTTTTTTTTAGTGTTTTTTATTTTTTTGCTGTAAAAAGGGATACAAATTTCTACACTACATAATTTAATGTGGAAGGTTTACGGAAAGGGTAGCTTTTCTGTTAAGGCGCACACGAACCAAAGGCCCAAACGGCCGGAGCTTATACCAGTTTCCGTAGCATGAAGCATGCCTAGGAGTTTCACTATTCCCCCCTGGACTGATGCAAGTCCATTGCAGGATTACCCCCCAGCAGTATGTCACCGGTACTCAATTACACACCTGGGAGAAGAGCGACAAAGTGGGATAAGTTCCTTGTCTAAGGAATCGACGCGACGGGCGAGGCTTGAACCCTGGACCTCCAGATCCAGAGTTCGAGGTGTTAACGGCTCGGCCACACACACCTCCACTAAGAGTGGAGTGTGGGGATACCTGAACGTAATCAGCCACAATAACTGAATGTTAGCGACAAATTTCATATATGAAAGTTTACCCCAATTTTAAGCTTACTTGTATGCAATTACTCTAATTACGCCAATTTCCACTTAAATTTTCCTCAGGATTTTAACATTAACGGCACTCAAGCATGGGGCCTGTAAATATTGCTGTGGCATTGTTTAGTACAGCCGCTTTCTTGTTTTTGAATCCTCTCATTTATACTTGGGGATTTCGAGCTCGAGCTACACCGCAAGAAGATGGTCTAGCCACTGAGTTTAAGCATGTCTCGCATGTGTTGGTCCAACGTACAGTAGTTGCGAACAGAGACAGAAAGACGGTCCAAGAGGCTCTTGACAGAGAAGTGGTTGGAAGGAAAGTAAGAATAAGTTGGGATCAACTGAAGACAGCTTCACCGAAGGCAGTAACAGAAACAGCTGTTCCTGGAGCAGGAAAGTTGGTAACATTCGAAAAAACTGGGGGTATTTCCCTAAAAGAAGCTTTCCAGTTTATGCAGTTCTACCCAATTCTTTATGGAGAAGAAACGCACCCGACAGAATTCCACGTTCCAATCGGAAAGAAAATTCACAAGTTTAAGCTCTCCAGCAAAACCGACGGCACTTTCTCGTTGAAAGCTATACGAACAGATGGTACGGAAGTGGATCTCTCAAATCTACAGACTGCAGTTAATGTATTGTCTGACAGCAACCTGAAGGCCCCCTTAAGGGACACGGTAAAAGAAGTCTCTTTACAGGCATTAGATGCGAAATTAAACAACCAACCCGATTTTGAAAGCACATTAACACAAAAGGACACAGCAAAAACGGTTACAACGCAGGAAAGGAACGATGCGTTTGGGGCATCGATAGATGTTTTGGCTGGTACGTCCATACAAAAGAACAAATTGACAGGCCTTAATCCATCAGGATGGTTACAGACAACAAACAGCGATATTGGAACAAAAATGGAAGAAGTACGGGATGACCTTAGCAAGGAAATAGCGACCGCAGGTGAAACCCAACTAACGTTGGAATTCACTCAGAGTATGCTTAAAACAAGTCAGCAAGCGATTGACGAGTGGGACGAATTGAAGAAAACCGACACGGCAGTAGGCTCGGGTAAAAAAATCGTGGAAGAGGAGATAATTACGAAAGGAAAACGAAAATCATTAAAAGTGACAATCCACGAAACTGATAAGGTTTCCGTAAAAGATATTTTTAAACTAATGCAGTTTTACCCTGACATATACCAAAGTCAAGGATTAAAACAAACAACGTTCGAAGTTCCCATTGGTGGAGCAAGACGGAAGTTTCGTTTAAGCACGAGCAGTCCAAAACGAGGAGGTGTACATCAAATAGTTGTTCCAACGCTTGATTCTGATTGGCCTGGTACCACCAAACGAGGCAGAAAAGGCAAAGGTGGTCTTTGGCTAACTGATTACAATACAATGGTAGATGGAGTTCTTGGTAAGTTTCCAGATCAAGATAAACTAGGAAAAGCTATGCTGGAAGCCGTTGACGAGAAACTTAAGAGCCAACCTGATTTCTCCAAAGATCTAGAAATTACCGGAAAGGCAAAAGAAACTGCGGACGCCACACGCGCTACCGTAGAATTCCTGGTTACTACAATGGTTGCAGAAGCGGCTCAGCCAACAGATGAGTTTAAAGCCAGTTTTTTGAAAGAACTCGCTCAGAAGATAAGAAATCAAAAGAAATTCCCAGAAAGTAAAGATATTCCCAGCTTGGCAAAGTTAAAAGACAAAACAGGAAGAAGTCCAGCAATGGATGAATTAGTCAGAGACATGCTTAAAAATGTCGGTTCCACGGGAATAAGAGAACGTATAGACGAAGTCTTCAGCAAAACTAACTTTAAAGTTAGATTAAATCCAGGTGGAACTGAAAAAGGGCGCGTGTTAATACATGCAGAAGGAAGTGGAACAGTCCCTTCGTACCTCATACGTAAACGTGCAGCTGGAGATCATGATGGAGAGGTTGTTGCTGCAAAGGTCGCCAAATACTGCACAGGAACAAAACGCCGAAGAAAGCGCTTTGCCTGTTCGCTTAATGATAAAGACGCCGTTGCTGTTGACGAGGATTCTATTAAAGTTGCTAAGGAAAAAGTTGAATTTGACGTTGTGGATCGGCGTAATGCCAAAGAAAGAGAGCATGTTCAGTTACAAATAAGCCCCGAAGAGCTGGCAACACCTAAGCTGATTAAGGACCATCTATCAAAATCTAAAATAACGGGAGCTAGTAAGGAGTACGCTAAGGTAAATAAAGGTCTTGCTGTTCATGGCCTGATATTTTCCGTTCTCGGCGCTGTTAATTATTTCCAGGAAGGTGATGATCTACGAGGCGCCATTTCCGTGGCCCAGTCTGCCCACACACTAGCAGGATTAACGGGTCTCAACGAGATAGTTTCAAAGGTTGGAAAAAGAGTTATAAGTAGTGCGGCTAAAGGGTTGGCAAAAGGGTTAAATCTAGAAAAAGGCTTGGAAAGGTTTTCCACGAAAGTTGAAAGGTTCGCAGAGAGAGGAATTGGAGAGATGCTTGGTGCCGTGCCTGTTGTGGGAATTGCATTCGATATCTACTTTATTGAACAAGACATAGAACAATTGGCCAATTTAAATCTCAACGACCCCGAAGACCTTAAAATTTTACCACTGAGGGTGATCGATTTAGCACTTGATGTTAGCACGACGGTGCTTAACCTAATAGGAACATTTTGTCCGGCAGCAGAAGTGATTACTGAGCCTCTGGTGATAGTCCTCTCAATAATACGAATGGCTATTGACGACTTCTACATCGATATTATGGCGGAGATGGAAAAGGTTAATTGGAAAAGTCCATGGGCTGGTTTAGAGTTCCTTGCAGCTCTGGTCAAAGGTTTCTTAGACGGAGCGGCAGATTTCTTAACGGGTGGTCTACGAAGACAGATGGAGTCTTATGGCAAGCAAGAAAAATATGACAAGGAACTCATCCGGAATCTGACAAACCCAGATAGCTATTATAAGATCGTTGGAGAAAAAAATGGAGGAGGGGAAACGATCGACTTCACCCAAGGTATGCTATCAAGTATGGGTGGCTATATCAACTTTAGACTACACGATAACAACCGGGCTACATTGGAAATCGGAGATGTCCCTGGCAGCCATAATACAATACGCAAAACGTTTACAGTTGGCCCCAATCTAAAGGATATTGTTCTCGGTATAGGCGAGTCTAGAAGTTTTAACTACAAACACGAGACTGCCAAGTTGTGGTTCGTAATTCCAATCAAGTCTTATAATGTAATTTGTGGAGCTAATATTCATGAAAAGTCTATTTATGGCACTTATTATGGAAACTCTAAGGATAACAAGTTTTATGCGGTACAGCATCAGAAGCCAACAACAAAACCCCCAGGAAAAAAGGATGCAGAATGTAATTTTGGAAAGTTAAATCTTAAATTTGTTACCGGAAATTATCACTACAATCTGTATGGGAGGGGTGGTAGCGACACTTTTTATCTCGGACCGGAAATGTCCACTGTCACAGGAGGATCTGGAAGTGACCTATACATTATCCAGTCAGATGGTGGAAAAACAATCATTGACAATTTTGCTGAAGATAACAAGCGTGACATCGTTGTAATAAACGTTGCTTTTGATAATATACAATGTCATCAGAGTAGCAATGATCTTGACGTAACGTATGCTCAGAGTCATCACATTCGCATCAAGAACTGGTTCTCTGCTGGAGATCCAACCTACTACCGCCACGTCTCATTTCGAAGTCAAGATGGAGTAATATTCGTTCCAAAACAGACCTTGAATAGCGATGACATTCATGTCGTTCAGTGTGTGGCAGTTGCTCTTGATCTAGGTGCAGCAAAGACAGCTCAAACTGTTTCTCTCATGAATGCGAAATACAGTCAAGTGAGACAAGTGTCTGGATCCAATAACTCTGATACCATTATCGGTAATGATTTAAACAACATCCTGGAAGGAGGCCGTGGAGCCGATCAGTTGACTGGGGGAAAAGATGAAGATACTTACATCATCAGAGCAAATGAAGGCTGCGATGTTATTGACAATAATGCCGAAGATTTCTTAAACACCACTGATATTGTCGTGTTCGATGTGCTCTTTGATATGATAGATGTTCAAATGAAAGGAAATGATTTGTCTGTTACTGACGGCAACAATGCACGAAGCTCATGCTTTACAATAAAAGACTGGCGACTAGGATATCGGCACAGACATATACTATTTACGTCTGGAGACCACGTCGTCTTCAACGTCTCTACCAGCCAAAGCGGAAGCGTATCCAAAGTACCTATCATGCTGGACTACAAGGCATCCGTAGTTGGAATCTGCGTTGATTTATCGGATTCACCCAGTCCAAACTGCATCAAGCCAACTGGTTATGATAAAGTCGCCACCGTTTCCGATTCCGCGCACAACGACCATATAGTTGGAAATGCGCAGACCAACTTTTTGAGTTGTAGTGGAGGAGAAGATTACCTTGAGGGTGGTGAAGGTACAGACAACTATGTTGTAAAGAAGACATGCCTAAAGGCAATCATCAACAATTTTGACAATCGCAAAAAAGTTGATTTGCTGCATATAGTGGAGACGTTTGACAACTTAGAACTGTTAAAGAAGGGCGATAATTTAAGAGTTAAATCAAGACATGGAACACCCACTGTGGTACTTCGAAACTGGTTTAAGTCATCTGTTAACCAGCACCTTGGGATAAGAACCATCGACGGCATTACCTTAAGAATAAACAGCACGGCAGTAAAATTCGAGCCATACGAAGTATCTAAAGATCCCACAGAATGTCAATGCACACACTCAGGCTGTGATAGAGGGCTTGTAACATACAATCTTAGCAGTGATCCTTGGAAAAATGTTGTCCGTTTTCAGTTAAAGTCAAGTCACTGTAGTTACAAAATATACGGGAATGGTCTAAACAATTATCTTGACCCAGGAGCAGGAAATGGTTATAACTATCAGCATTTAGAGGGAAAGAACGGATCGGATACATACGTGTTTAACCACGGATATGGCGAGTTCAATGAAATCAATAACTTTGCGGATGATAACAAGACAGATACCCTCGAGCTTGGAATAGAATTTGACGACATTCAGGTGTATTTTCACGGTCAATATGATGTCATTCTTGAATCCAAAGCAAGACCAAGCTCACTCAGTGTTCGAATTTTGGATTACTTCCGCGGTGTGAAGTATCAGCATCTCCAGATTACATCAGCAGATAAAGTTGTTTTCAATATTTCCAAACAATATCCTTTTACAAGGGTCGTCGTGGTCGACCGTAGAATCATCGATTCTCCACAAATAATTGATCCTCGCAGAAACAGTATAATTGCCACAGCTGAAGATCTTAAAGGATCACTTACCTCGGCCAATAACCTGAAGGGCAGTAATACAACAAGAGAAATAGAAGGTGGTGCTCAGGCCGACATTTTACGTGGAGGACAAACGGGGTCAATATTTGAGGGCAAACAGGGTAACGATTCCATTTATGGTGGTGCTGGTAATGACGTTATTTTTGGTGGGGACGGGAATGACGTCATTTATGCCGAGGCAGGAGATGACTATATTTATGCTGGGAACGGTCCAGACATCGTCCATGGCGGTAACGGCAGTGATACTTTGGCTTTCAAAGGTGATGGAGTCTTGAGCAAAGGAGTCACTGTTGATCTTAATATTGGATTTGGTAAGGGAGCGGATGCAGAAGGCGATGTCTACCAGAGCATTGAAAATGTATACGGAACGATTCACAACGATTCCTTAATTGGATCCGATTCCAATAACAAACTGTATGGCCTTGAAGGAAGTGATACACTGGCTCCTCTCGGTGGCGATGACAAACTTGTAGGCGGTGAAGGAAAAGATTTGTATTTACTCTATAAAGCTTCAGGGTTAAAAATCATCGACAACTACGCGAATGATTCGATTGAAGACACCCTTTCTTTGGCTCACCTGAACTCTACTGATGTGTGCATCTTTTTAGTCGGCAACGACCTACACCTACAAGCTGACCGATCTAACTTGGCGTCTGTTCTTTTTCACGGTGAATTGTTGACAGTCATAATTACAAACTGGAACGTGAATGCTAAGTACAGACACCTTACGGTTTTATTTAATGACACTTTGTGGGAAGCTTTCGCTTTATCTGGTATCGTTTCAATATTGGACAAGTTAGGAACGAGTGTTAACTATGTCGAAAACAGCACCAAATTGAAGGTTGTGTCTACAAGCGGAACCAGTGCGAGTTTATCTTGGAAGCAAGCAAGCAGTCCTTTGACACATCCACAAACTAAGTTGTATCTTGTACATTTTAAACAAATAGAACCCAGTAGCCTTAAAAAACAACAAGTGCTTGGTAAAACAGCACTTACTGTCTCGCCTATTGATCCAAACGTCCACTACGTTTTCGCTTTGGCATTAACAAAATGCAACGCAACACTTGCCGTATCCCATACACTCATAACCTATGGACGCAAAAGATCATGTCCAACAGTACAGGTTCCTCACTCTGCTGTTCAGTATACTCCAACTTCTACTGCGTCAACTCCAGCTCACGGTGCAATTGTCAAAGTGAGATGTAATGCGGGTTATAACATTCGCAATCACCACACGGAACAAAATGCCACATGCTTAGATCAAAAATGGATCCCTTCCCTTCCAGTTTGCAAGAAGATAAAGCAATGTCCTGTTCTAACAAAGCCGACCAATGGAGAGGTTTCAACCAGTGGGCTCGGCGAAGGATCGAAAGCTTATTATGTTTGTCACAAAGGATTCTTGCTCAATGGACCAAAGGAACGAATCTGTGTCGATGAAGCCTGGGATGGGATGGTTCCTAATTGCCAGCCACTTAGTTGCCCAAGTCCACCACCAATTGATCATGGGTCGTATCTTCCCTGTGATTACGTAAAGCATGCAAAGACTTATGGCACAATGAGTAATCCCCTCGAAGGCTACTGTGTCAAGCTTCAATGTACGAACTTGTATCGACCAAGTCACGTATTTCATGGAAAGACGCATCGCCCTCGATGGGAAAGCGACTGGAAGATACCTCAGGGCGGTCGGGTTTGTAGCGATGGAAAGTGGATTGGTTATGTGGACGACATCTGCGACGCTACTGCTAGACTTGTCAGCGTGGAAGATCGGTGGAATAAGAAAAGTGGCAAACTACAACTTTGGCAGAATGGAGCATGGGTGGATGCTTCCTCTTCCCCAGCACCAAACATTATCAATCTTTCCTGTAGAAGTGTGGCTATAGACGATCCTCAGTATGTAACGCACACTTCGAGAAGCTCCACGATACAGGTGACATGCTCTAAGCTACGACTGACACGGCCGAAGCCAACTATATATGAGGGAAGACTAGAGGTATTAAATAACGGAAACTGGGAAGGTGTATGCGTCACGGAGACGAGGACTGCTGCAAGTCAGACAGCAAGCAATGAGATTTGTGAGGCACTTGGCTTTAACTATAGATCTGCTATAGTGAGCATCAGTACTGGCTGGACAGACCACAAGCTTGTTTGTTCACCGTAAGTTAATGGTAGATTTGTGCTGATATAACAGAAAATGAGAGTGAGATGTCATTAATTCGTTTTTTAATTCCCTTTGTAAATCAGAAAGTAATGATAGGAGAAATTTATTTGTTTTGTTATATTTCAATTTTTTCCTTCATAAATCAGAAAGTAATGATGGGGAAAATTTACTCGTGAAATATATAATCTTTCTATAAACCTCTAACTAAAGATGAATTTTGACGTTATTCTTGGACCCAGGGTAGCTAAGACATACTTGGGCGGGTTTCATTGCTTTTCCTTTAAAATTGGTCGGAGTCTTATTTGCAGTTAGAATAAAACTAAATAAAACTAATAAAATAATTAAAAAGAAAACTAAATTCGGTTTACCACGATGGGCACAAATGACGCCTGAACTGCTCTCCTAGAGACCCCTTTTGCAGTTTTAATGCGCTTGAGCTCTAAATTTGCTAAATCTATAATCATTGTATCCAAACAGACTTACGGGAAAATGACGTCATTTAATACCATAACAAATAAGTAGTTTGGAGGAGCGTGATGAGATAGAAGCGGGTGGAAAAATGTTGTAAAATGAAACGGATATAAACTGCAAAAGCAGTTTCTGGGAGAAGTCGTTAAAAGCGTCGTTTGTGAGACACGTCTACGGCTTCTTTTTTTTTACCTTTGCATTTCGTTTGAAATTATGCGTTGATTCCCTTTCTCGAAATTAAAAAGTATAAATATATATAATATTTTTATCAAAGCACGAAGACGAATTCTGATATGATTCTTGACCCGGCCCAGGATAGAAGCTATAATGCGAGACTGAAAAGATTCAAATGTATACTTGATTCCCTTTCTTGGCTTTAAAATGTACAATATGGTAAACAAAGCTAATGCTGAATTCAAAGTACAATATAAAAATCAGAGAAACATATAGCTAACGGTTTACTGTACTAAAACTTAAACAGATGCAATTTGGTGGCGAGAAGACAACAATGTGGTACCATGGTGAGATGCAGACAGAGGTGCACTAACAGTTTCCCAGTAGCTCATGGATATGTCAGATGTAGTGGTAGCTATGAAGACGACACATGCACAGTTCACTGTTACAATGAATACAAACTCTCTGGAGACTCTAAAGTTTATTGTAAAGGAGGAGTCTGGACGAGGCAAAACGGGCAACCCGCTTCATCAAATTGTAAAAGTATAGGTAAGTATCGTGGTTTTGAATAGTGGTAGATCAGTAAATCTGATGTTAAATGAAACTTATTCGCATGCGACTTCATTTGCATTTCAACGTGGTCGAAGTGTTTGGCTTTATGTTGCCTGTAGCAAAATTATGAGCTCATATGGCATGTTATTTAACTTGAATCAGGTGCTTTTTGTTTTAACGTGCAAAAAGGTGGAAGTGTTTGGTTTCGTGTTACTTTCAGAAAAACATGATGACGTACTCGGTCATTTTTCCACAAACACAATAGCGCCACAAAGCTCTCCCAAAGGCGACGCATTAAAAAAATTCCTGCAAAATATGAAGACTAAGTATCCATACCGTTCGTTTGCAATGCATCACAAGTACGAATTCTCCAGGACGGTTGGAGGACTTGATAGAACCTACACATAATTAACGCACTTTACAGGCATACAGCTAAGCTAAGGTTGTTCACCTTTTTTCGGCGTTGTTTTGAGTGTAATGGTAATGCTTAAGAATCGAGAAGTAAGCAGGAAAATAGCGCAGAAAGAAAGAAGTATAAAGAAAAATAAAGTGAAGGGTATGAATAAAAAAGGCAAGCCTTAATTTTTTCGCGTCTTTAACTGCGATGATCCTTTACATTTCACTTTATTACTTCATTCCGAGGTTCCAATTAATAAGAAGTTCATATAATTTTCTTTTCTTAAAATATGATAACGTAATTTGCTTCCCTTGTCTCATGAGGATGTTTCTTTTACTCCCAACGATACTTACAAGAATCTAGTCCATCTCTTTTTCAGACTCTCTTTACAAGGATGACGTTTCGAACCTTGTAAGCGCGAACAGAAGAGCAAGCCTTTCCGCGTTGGCTACGCTGTTACTAAACCATTTAAGGAGAAATTATCCCAATCAATATTGGGTGGTTACTGTATATGACCCTGTTTGGACCTATGAAAACCACGCTCTTTATGGTTATGACTCTCGTCGCGCCTTTAAGTTTAGACATGCTGGGGTTAACTATGTTGTTACACGATATCCTAAATGTTATGCTAGAACTCCGAGTGTAAAAATCTCGGATGTGGTGGGGTCGGTAAATGGAATTGGTGGCAAAGACATCGCCCTAAACGTTCTTAATAATATTGTGGGTAAGTTTCGCGCCCGTGGCATGAGTTATTCCTCGATACATGTTATTAGAAAGAGGAGGTCGGTAGGTTGGTGGCTGGATAGACGTAAAATTGGTATTTGGGTTTCCACTCGAGGAGATATACCTACTGCAAACTATTTTTGGAAGGAGTTTTCTGATGTTTACGTTATCGTGGTCGCTCCTTATTAA